AGCTCTACCAACAGATTGAACTGTATTTGCCATAATTGCTGAGAACAGCTTATTCAGTGCAGACCGCAAAAAAGAGAGCCATAAAACCGAGGAAGGAGCAGGAGGAGGAGGAGGAGGGAGACTGCCACTTGAAACCAGCAAGCTTTGCTCAAAGAAATCAAACCCAGGACAAGTCTTGTGTCAATTAGACGGTGTGTGCGTGTTTGTGTTAAAAAACGGGTGGGTGGGGGTAGGATAGCATATGGATTAGCTCTCAGTCGTAAACTCAGAGCTCTGCTTTAAGGTAGTATTTTTTTCATTATTAGTAATCTTGATTATTTTTAAAGGCAGGCTCCTCTATTCCACCACATTAAATCCCCCCTGCGCATGAATATATCTAAAACGAGATAACTGATACGGCCCTGACCCTCGGTTCCCAGCATCCCGCTGAAAAGAGCTCTAATGAAAAATAAATCTTGTGAAGAGAAAAAGAGCAACAGACAAATCAATAGAGGCACAGGCTGAAAGATAAAAGCGAGCGCTGTGCGCCAAAGAGCTGTACTCGCTCTCTCATTCCTGGGTTGATTGTGCTTAAAGTGAAACCACATGAAGTGGGCTGCTCCCACAGAGGAAGTAAGAGTGTGTGGAGCTAAAAGTACACAGACTTCAGCACCTAAAAAAAAAAAAGAGGGGGAGGGGGGGGGACGTGGTCCTTCTCTGTTACATTAACTGTTTGTGGCTAAATGAGCGGCATTAAAGTTGAGCCACAAAATGCTTCATCAGATTGAGTGGGTGTGGTTTGATTGGGTTGGATTGACACGCGCACACAGCTGTGATCTTGGCTGGCGCATTGTGAACATTTTGAGTCCAGCATAATAAAATAAACAAAAGCACAAATCGGACATGTAAAATAATCACAGCTCTTCCGACCCGTGGGTTTATGAGGATCTCCATATTAAACATCAGACTTTAACAGGTTTAATGCTGGAAACATGATAGTGCAGTCTGTGGCAGTGAAGCTCACACAGCAGAAATCTAAAATCAGAAGCTGAAATAAATGGACAGTTCATTGCTTCACTATTATGCAGCATATATTACTCTCTTAGGCCATTTTCCCCTCTTCCTCTCCGGCGTTCATTAGATGTGGGGGAATAAATCCAGATATCGATACCAGTGCTGGTATTGGTATCAGATCGGATTGATACTAGCGCCACAGGAGCGCTCAGTATTAATAATGTTTGCTTTATGTGGGGAAATTCTTCCCTGCACTTAACCCATTCTCTCAGTGCAGCAGTGGCTACCAATCCGGTGTCCGGGGAGCAGTGTGTAGGGACGTTACCTTGCTCAGGGGTACTTTAGGGCAGCCGGTCAGTGGATTCGAACCCCTGACCTTCTACTCATAGGGTCACTCTACCTACTGAGCTATCCCTGGGATTCGACGGGATCTGAGCATGACTGCTGAGCATGTAACCCAGTGAACTGTTTTAAGACAGACACATTTACATTCCAAGTTTTAAAAAGATTAAAAAATAAAAATATCGGTATCAGTATCGGTGCTGGCAGTACTGCCCCGTATTTACTTGGTATTGGATCGATACCATAATTTGCAGTAAAGTAAAACACTTCCATTCATACCTCATCAGCTCAATTGTGCACCGTTTCTGAAATAGTCCACTTTTTCTGCTGATAAAGCTCTAGTGAATCTGAGTGGAAATTCTGCCCCATCTCACATCTCCTTAAGTGGCTTGGTATAGTTACTGCTCGCTTACTTGTGTTGAAGGTTAGGAGTTTCAAGTTCCTGTGTATGATCTGTATATATGGTTTTTGACAATAAAGCTGACTTTGAGGCAGCCTCTATAAAACCTATACAGTAGCAACAATCGCACTGCAATTTCTCCAGAAACTGCAGAGTCAAGTTACTCTATACTACCTGATTCGGTCTGAAAGGCCCTCTGTAAAGTTCAGAGGGTGGAGGGTGGTTCCCTCTCACATGGCCAGAATCATAGTATCGTCCTTTCCAACAGAATGTACAGAAAAGATGACCGTCGTAGAGCCACCTATTGATTAGTACAAAATTTTCATCTCTGGTATTTTCATGTGATGAGTGTGGGATGGATGTGACTGAGAAACTCTGAACATGGCTAAGGTTGTTTTTGCCATAGACTATACAACTGGAAATCTTTTTGTAACCACAGACGTCGCCCCCTGCTGGCCTTTCAAAAGAAAAGCGTTTAAAGACCATTCCTTTCCATACTAGAAATATCACCAGATTTTTCAGCTATCATGTTAATGGAGTGTTTAATTTGTTCACCATTTAGCACTTTGTCACGCTAACGTGTTAATTAGTACAAAAACAAGCACAGTTAAATGGGAGAAAGAGTCTGGGGCTTCGATTGCAAAGGACGACTGGCAGAATAAGTGTCTGATGCAGCACATTCACCAGCTCAGGTGCCTGGAGAGAAATTCTGCTGGAAAAACCTATTAAGATATTTTAGAACCCCTAAATTAAAATGTGTGCAGACGGGTGAAACGACGAGTGGTTTGTGTTGGCAGAAGTGCAGCGAACAGCTGGCCTCGCTACCCCATACTGTGTAAGTATATATGTATTTTGGAGTCGATCATTTCGTCTAACTGGGAGGTAACAAGGGCAACACAGACTTGGAAATGACTTTTCTTTATGCACGACTCGTATGTGTAACATCCTGAGCAGTTTACTTGTCAAAGATAAACACTTATTAATCATTTCTTAAATAAATAAGATAAAGAAGTCTTTACTTATTGTGCGTACATTCAAAAACAGGCTCAAGAACTTTTGACTCACACAGTCCAACAATTAACAGGTGTTTTTGTTTTGCTGCTTTCACTTCCTTAAGGCAACCTATAGTTTTTGTCTTCCGTCTTCATCACATTGAGTAATTTAGTGCTTTCCCTTTTTTGGACATACACCGATCCTCTTAAGCACATGTATGACTAACTCTCTTTTTTTTAAGTTCGTTCCATGTGAGAAAAACCCAGCTTTTCTTTCCAAAGTACAGCTGTTCATAAACCATACACACACAGGTGATGAGATTAACACGTGGCATGAGTTCAAAATCTGACTTGCTGATGGTGCCAGACAAAGTCAGGAAATCATCAAAAAGATCCGGTGAAGAACACAAATGTCTTCACCACATCCTCATCCTGTAGCCACTGAGGCATTTCAGCTGTGCTACAGTACCAGCAGTGCTAATGTTGTGATGACAAAAGACACACACACACAACACAATATAGTTTTCTATGTTAGGCACTTTTATTGATTTTGTATGACTGATTCACAAATACAACTATTCTTGCCAAGAGCCTCCGCCCAGTTAAACAGACTGGTTAAACAGTAACATTTAAAGATTCAAACGGATTCATACTTTAGCCTTTAAACGGTAGAGGGAAAAGAAAAAGAAACATCCAAAAAGTTTGTGTTAACCATTAAAAAAAAAAAAATCTGCAGAACAAAACAGAGGAAAGGTTTGATGGGTGTAAACAGCTTTGTGTGTGTGTGTGCTAAATATAAAAACAAAGCGTATTAGCTGGAAGGGTAAAGAGGAGTGTTTCAGATGAGTAATCGTTCAGGGGTTGTTCTTATCAAATTAGTATCCTACAGTAAAACCTCAACGTGTTTTGTGCCGTTCTACTTCCAGACCTGCTGAATAATGTCACACTGTAGTAAAGTAATTAAAGTACAAAGCTATGAAAAATATATCAGTGTAAAGGCACAAGAGACTCGCTCAACAATCACAACACCACCACACTACACCATCAGGAGCCACAAAGAGCCGGCTCAGGGGTACGCGTCTGCTGCTCTGGGATAGCTGCATGAATCAGCTGCTCTATAAAGTCGAGTTTTAGCGGTTTTTAAAGAGGTTTGGTTTAAAAAGCAGTAACACACAGCAGCAGATATTAGCAGATGAAGCTTTATCACTTTAGTTTCTTATGCACATTTTTAGCGTTTCTCAGATTTCTAATAAACGCCACTAGTGTTCAGTAAACGCATGCAGCTGTAACAGCTTCCAAAAGCAGCAACTGCCTACCCCTGGTCTGCAGTGATTATTACATTTTCTACCAACTTGGCCTGCCAAGTTTCACCACTAGAGGACACTCTGGTTTAAAGAAAAAGACGACGTGCCACTGCAAACTGTAGGTCACAGCAAGAAATCGCCTCTTCACACCCCTGTGATTCGAATCCTGCGTGACCAGTGCACAGATTCGTGTAACCGGACTGTGAGATAACTGAGCACTCACCCAAATATACCTCATACAACTGTCTACAAGCGCGGCAAGAAGGCTTTAGATTTGGATCCACTTCAGGTCTTTGGCATCCGATTAGTTTGGACCTCCAGAAGAGAAGAAAAAAAAAAAAAAAGAAGAAAGGTGTGCCACAAAATGAGTTTGACTTAAAAGAAAGCGAGTGAAAGTTAAAGGACAGGTTCACGTAGTTTCATCTGATTTTCAGCCCGTCTGTACACTGACTGATTTACTGGGAGCTGTAATCATTTTTTGAGTCAAAAACAAATGCAAATATTAAGGCTTCATTCCCCACAGTTAAATTTACTGTGATTTCACCATGTCACCGTGCACTCCCAGCAGCTCTGCAAGGAAACAGGCAGGCAAAAGGAGCCTTTGCCCCAAAGTAAATACTAATCACTCAGCTGGATCTCATATTGCATTTGTTAAACTTAACACCAAGCTCATCTCAACATCTGCGTTGTCGCCTGCAAGCTGAAGCAAATCATAAAAGAGTTTTCAGACTCCCTCTATGTAAAACAAAAAGGTTTACCTACAGGAGCTAGCACACTACAAGAAATAGTCATTTAGCTTTAGGCTGATAACACACATGCACGATTTGCCACTCTGTACACTGGCCAGGTACAGATAGGCGACCTGTAAGTACACCTACTATTGCTATTCTGTTTTTGCTTCATTTGAATGTGTGTGTGTGTGTGTGTGTGTGTGTGTGTGTGTGTGTGTGTGTGTGTGTGTGTGTGTGTGTGTGTGTGTGTGTAAATCAGCAGCTGAAAATGTATCAAAGAAAACAATGATTACAGCAGCCAGTAACTCTGGGCTTCTGAGCTGGAAACTGTGAACCCCTCCCATTAAAACTCCAGCAAACGTCGATGTTAAACATGGAAGCATTCTGCACGAGCGCTGACAGTCAGGCGGGAATGTGAAAAGTGGTCTGTTTGTCCAGTTTACAGTTAGCTGAGGGTTTCAGGAGTAATCCAAGAAAGGGATGCACATTTTCAAATAACCTTCACATCACTGAATATAATGTGTAAAAGTTGCATAAAATCCACAGATCTTCACCATCATTAGAAAAGATGCGAAAAATAATGTATGAAACAGTTTGTTTTTACATACTGTGTACCAGCAACTGCAAAGTGTTTCTGCATACAGGTAGTTAATTACATTTGGCTTTAACTGCTGAGTTTATGTTTTCTGTGTATCTAAAAGAAAACGCTGCTGGTGTTCGTCTGTATCTACAGCCTGGAGACTTCTTAGACTTTAAATGCAGCAAAATGTGTTTTCTAACAGCCTGTCAGCAGACACACACTGGGCGCCCACAGGGGCCACAGCAGGAACACTTTACAGCAGGGGATATGAAAACAGTGAATCTGAGTCAGCAGGTAGCAGCAGGGTTTTGAAGCTTTAACACACAAACTCCTGTCTCATGCGGATGATCTGCAGCAAGGCGGCCTGGACGTCCTCGTCCATGTGGCCCTGTGGGAGAAACAGAAGAAGGACTTTGGTACATATATAACATCAGATATTAACATTAGACTATCATCATCTGATATTCTGTAGTAACCCTGCTGCAAACTTTCTTTCGTAGACAAACCAGACAAATCTCACTGTGCAGTAATCTCCACAGATTAATGAGTAAGACTTACCTGGGCTGCGCTGAGCAGATGTGTTCGATAAATTGAAACCACCTCTCTGTGTTGCCTCTCAGCATCCTTGTGAAGCAGAAAGGAGGAAGACGTGAGTGACACTGTGCTTTGTTTCACGTCTTTAACAGCTAGACAGTGTAATTGATGTTGACTGTATTCCAGCTTCCAGCTGCTGTATGTTATGATGTTAGAAGAGCAGCATCCAACTTGCTCTAAAGTTGTTCACGTCTTCTTGTTTTCAGCTTTTCATTACGTTATCAATTCAGTTATCCAAAATAAATATGTAATAATAATAATAACTAAATACAGTATATTGCCAAAAGTATTCACTCATCTGCCCTCAAACATGTATGAACTAGAGTGATGCCCCATTCTTAGTCCATAGGGTTTAATATCATGTTGGCCCGCCCTTTGCTGCTATTACAGCTTCAACTCCTCTGGGGAAGGTTCAGGAGTGTTTATGGAAGCACATTCGTGAGGTCAGACACAGCTCACAGTCTGCGCTCCATTTCACCCCAAAGGTGTTCTGTCGGGTTGAAGTCAGCCAGTCAAGTTCTTCCACACCAAACCTATCCATGTCTTTATGGATGCTGCTTTGTGCACTGGTGTGCAATCATGTTGGAACAGGAAGGGACCATCCCAAACTGTTCCCACAAAGTTGGGAGCATGAAATTGTGCAAGACAGTGGTACTATAACAAAGCATACAAAGCTAACAGTGACTGTGGAATATTTAGTAGCAAGGAAATTTCACGAGTGGACTTATTGCACGGTGGTATCCTATCACGGTACCATGCTGGAACTCACTGAGCTCCTGAAAGCGACCCATTCTTTCACAAAGGTGTGTAGAAGCAGTCTGCATGCACGGGTGCTTGATTTTATACACATGTGACTGTGGAAGTGATTGAAACACCTGAATTCAATTATTTGAATGGGTGAGCGAATACTTTTGGCGGTCTATATTTATATAGTTTGTCTAGAACACGTTTTAGCATGTGATGTGTGTCCACTTACAGCCAGCTGCTGCTGTAGGCTCTTGATCTGAGCTTGGAGTGTGTCGATGGGCTGCGTCTGCCTCTTGGGTGTGTTGCTTGTGTATGTCAGCTGGGACAGACTATTCAGCGCCTGCTTTAATCGCTCAACGTCTGTAAGCAACTCTGTGATCTGTCACACAGACAAAGAGCAGGACAAATATCGACGTTAAACATCATTTAACGTCGATCAAGGATTTCCACAGTAGAAATGGAAAAATGTCAGAAAAATCTTTTTCCTCTATTCATCAAAATAAATGACAAACGCATCTCAGTGGTCATTATCATGCTTTTCATTGTTACAGTGGCATTTAGAGTTTATGTGAAACACGCGTAAAATTGATCAAAATCTCTCAAATGAAACTGGGAACAATTAAGACTATACTGTGAATTGTTTTGTACCTTCTTGTCTTTGGCTTCGGTCTGCTCAGCTGATGTTTGAATCCTCTTCTGCAGGTCACAGATGGTGGTGAGGGACTCATCGTATCTCTCTTTCAGCTCTCTGATCTCCCTTTCGATGGCGCGCCCTTTCTCCTGGACTGCCTCCATCTCCGTCCTCGCCCTGCTCTCGCCCTCTCTTGCTTTTGTTGCCTCCTGATGGACCTTTTCACGCTCTTCTACCAAGCTCAGCAGCTTGTTATTCAGGCTGGCGGCCTCCTCCTCCAGCTGCTGTTTCTCCTTCTTCAGCTCGTTCATTTGGTCTTCCTTACAGCGGATCTCTTCGAGAGCCTGAGTAGCCTGAAGGAGCTCTGACTGCAGAGCAGATACATCTTCCGCCCTCTGGGCGTTGTTTTCCTCCTCTTCGCGGAGAGCCAGGTGTAGCTTAGCCACTTCAGCCTCCAGGGCTTCCTTGGCCTCGGCATGCTGCAGCAGAGACTCCTGCTCCCGGTGGAGTTCCTGCACTTCTTTCTGAAAGGCGCACACCTTCTGGGCCTCCGCCTGCTGCGCCTCTCTTGCTTTCTTGCAATCAGCCTGCGCTTGCTGTAAGGCATCATTGAGGGCTTTGAGCTCGGTGTCGTATGTCGATATGCGTGCCAGCTCTGACTTCAGACGCTCCTGTAGGTTTTGAATTTGAGCATTGCACAGGGCATTTTGCTCTTGAAGTTCAGCTTTCTGAAGTGTTACCCCGTCGAGCTGCTGCTCTAAGTTGACCAACTTCTGGGTCAGTTCTTCACATTTAGCCTTGAACTCCTCCTCATTTTCTTTGTGCTTTTCACTGGAAACCAGAGCGACATCTAGTCTCCTCTGAACAGATTCCACCTCAACTTTCAGTTTCTTTTCCTCCTGTCTGTTGCCCTCTCTGGCAGTCTTTTCTTTGTCATACTTCTCTTCCATTTCCAACAGTTTTGCTGTCAACTCTTTAACCTGGGTGCTGTAAGAGGTTTCCTTCTCCTCAGCTGTTGTCAGAGGCACAAACTTAGACTGAATAGCCTCTTGTATGGTATCAAGCTCTTTCTTCTGAGCCTCCAGTTCGTGAGTAAGCTTAACAGTTTCATCCTGAGCCAACGCATGCATTGCAGACGCCTCATTCGCTCTATTCTCTGCCTCGACCACGGCAGCATTCAGCTTGTCTGTGATAGCTCTGTGGTCTTTTACACTGATGTAGTCGTTTTTCATCTCCAGCAGAACTTTTTCTAACTTTTCTTTTAACTTTTCATTTCCTTCTTTCACATTCTTCAACTCTTCCCCACTTTCTTTTTCCCTTGTCTCCAACTTTAACATCTCAGCTTTAACGCTCTCTAAGGTGGAACTTAACTCCATTTTCACTTGCTCGTGCTGCTGTCTGGGAACATACTGTCCCTCCAAGCTCTCTTTGAGAGTCTGACTCTGTGTGGTCAGCTGCACACACTCTTTATCTCTGTCTTCACATCTCTTCTGCAAAAGCTCAACTTTCTTTATCAGGTCGGCATTCTGACACCTCATAGTGTCCATCTCACTTTGTTGTTTCTCACTCGTGCTGCTGAGGCTGCTGATATTCTTCTGCAACGCGCCCCTCTCGGTCTGAAGCTGTTGGACTTGTGCCTCTGCTCTTCCGCAACGTTCGCCGGCTTCCACCAGTTTGTCCTCGAGATCCTCCAGAGCCGTTACCATGTTCCTCCGAACTTCCTCGTGGTTCTGTATCGGTATAAAGTCCACCTCAATCCTGCTGTTAAGTTCATCCAGCTGCTCTTGTAGCATGTCTTTTTCATCCTCACTCTTCTCAACCTCATGAATCAGAGCCTGGCTTTTTGCAGTCACCTCCACCAATGTCTTTTTCAGGGTAGCGTTCTCATCTTCCAGTGCTGCCCAGACCTGCTGCTCCTCAGCAGACAACGGCCTCGGCCCTCCCTGTGAGGAGGGGCTGTCTAGCTTTCGATGGAGCTCCGCCACCTCCTCCAGCACCCGATCGTAGTCTTCCCTCAGCTCGGCGAGCTGCCGTTCCTTCTCGTCAACTGCATTGGTGAGCAGGTTTTTCATGTTGTCGAACTTCTCAGCCGGTACGGTGTTGCCATGTTTAGTCTGGGCCTCTTTCAGCTGGGTTTCCATTTCTAAAAGTGTTTCTCTCAGTACGTCTCGCTCTGCAGTCAGATTTTGGACATCATGGTTCAGCCTCTCCGTCTCAGCTGCTAGTTGGCTCTCACTGCTCTTGTACTCCTCCAAGGCCTTCTCACTCTGTTTGAGGCGGTTGCGAACGCGGCCCACTTCGGCCGAAGCACCTTCATACTTGGCCTTGACGTCCTGGAGCTGAGTGCGCAGTTCTTCTGTCGCTTGGCCTCCTAAATGTTCTTTGACAGCGACTACGTGGGCTTGCAGCTGTTTGACCTTGCACTCAGAGTCCAGCATCCGTTTCTGGACGTCTCCCAAGGCGTCCTCGAGCTCTTGAACCTGCTGGTCAGCCTGTTTCTGGATGGTGTCTCGGCTCTGAAGTAGTTCCTGGCACTCTCTGGTTTTACGGCTCAGTGCAGACTGAAGCCGTGTCGTCTCCTCCTCAGCTGCCTGCTGTCTTTTCTTGACTGCCTCAAGTTCATTTCGGAGCGCATCCAGCTCACCAGGAAGACCCTTCTCCAGCGGTCGGGATAATGAACGTGAGAGGGGAGGATTTCTGAGCATCTTTAGAGAGAGATAGGAAAAAGATGCTGAATTAGTATAGTATATGTTTATATTGCACAATAAAGTCATTCACAGCTTTGCCCCACCCACCACTGTACATTCAAACCTTTTAGATGTAAACTATGAAAGAAAGACGTGCATAGACACCAGACACATGCAGCACATATAAAACTGTTCACAGAGAGGGAAATACCTGATCAGAATCCAGGCTGTGACCTTTGACAAAAACATTTTCTTTACCTGCAACACAACAGCACACAAACGTAAAACTAAAGCAAACACAAACTCTGCTGCTAAAGTTTGAAATTACAGTCTTTTCTTTATGGTCCAAAATAAGCAGGAAGCTGACCTTTGATAACCGACTGACCAGAGTATTCCCCCTGTGAAAACACAGATGGACAAATCGATTACAAACTGACCGATTAGACAGAATACATAAAAATACAAATAAAATAACACTGCTGTAATCAGAAGGCTGCACATGCCTGTTAAACTTGAATCCGAAAACATTTTACTTTCATAAGGATTACCTCGAAGCAGAGACCACACACATGCATGAAATCACTAACCAAAGTACTCCGGAGCTGGACCTTGACAGTCTCCTGCCCTCGAGCGCCTTCATCTTTTTCTTTGGTGCTGAGTAACATCTTCAACTGTTCCTTCTAATAGAAGACGAAGAAGAAGACGAAGAAGACGAAGAAGAAGACGAAGACGAAGAAGACGAAGAAGAAGACGAAGAAGACGAAGAAGAAGAAGAAGACGAAGAAGACGAAGAAGACGAAGAAGACGAAGAAGAAGAAGAAGAAGAAGAAGACGAAGACGAAGAAGAAGACGAAGAAGAAGAAGAAGAAGAAGAAGACGAAGAAGAAGAAGAAGACGAAGAAGAAGAAGAAGACGAAGAAGAAGACGAAGAAGACGAAGAAGACGAAGAAGAAGAAGAAGACGAAGAAGAAGAAGAAGAAGAAGAAGAAGACGAAGAAGAAGAAGAAGAAGAAGAAGAAGACGAAGAAGAAGAAGACGAAGAAGACGAAGAAGACGAAGAAGAAGAAGAAGAAAAAGCAGTGAGGGTAAGAACTCACACTTCAACACTTTAAATGAAATGCTCAGAAAAGGCCAAACCAATCAAACAATTTACTCTGAAACAGTTCGTAACATGAAAAACACAGATATCAGATAATGTACCTACTAACCATATGTCTAAATGCATCTACTCCCTATGTGTGCTACAGTCATTTGGAAGACGTTTGGATGTGCTGCAGGCAGAGTGAAAAACGAATGCTTCTACAGGCAGCAGAAGTCAAAGGGAGGGAGGTGAGGCCTGAAGTCCCGAAGAGAAGAAATCTGGTCTGCAGGTTGGCACATCTTTACGAGACAAAACTGCTCCTGCGCCCAAGATACTAAACTGCAGGCAAACACTGATCCGCGCACGGTAAAATAAATCCACAAAACACCTCGACATCCATGGCTTTAAAGGGCGAGCAGCTTCACGCTTATTTATAGACTAGTTTAACAATTTCCTTTTACTTTGAAGTGACTGTTATTTATTCCTTATTTATTAAATGCTGATAACCTAAAAAAAAGGGAAGAGCTCTTGGAAGAAAAGAGTTCACTGTGCACAGGACACAATTTCACAAAGAGCAAGCTACAATCATTAACCAGCACTGTCATACAAAGTGTTTCCTTGTTGTTCAAGTTACGTATGCATGCAGTTTATATTGAAGGATAAAAGCGAACATTGTGAATGAACCACAGGCAGGAGTAAGTGGTTATTTTTCTATCATACCTCTTTTTGAGAGCCTTCTGCGGCCATTTTTTCCTGCAGATGAAAAAGGATCACAAGTCAACTCACATGAGAGATTAATAAATGACAGCTGATTTCATTTAATTGAATTTCCTTGCCCTTCTGCGTATTGGAAATTGTTCTGGCAGCTAATAGCAGGCAGCTATCATGCTCACTTAAGAAAGTCTCCCTTTTTTTAATATAATTATAAGCCAGCTCTTCCTCCTCAACACCTAGGGTTAGAAAATTATCACACATTTCCTAAATTACACTCCTTATGTTAGAGGAAAAGGAGACATTATGCCAAAGCAGCGTGACTCAGCTTAGCTGTTGTTATTACATTTTACTTTAATTCATCATTTCAGTCCTAAGAAGGACGTGCAAAACCATCCGGCAGGTGCAGTGAACAAAGTGAGCCAGACGCCTGGAAGGCTTTACTGTACCGTTGTGCACAGGGGCTCTGTCACTGTGGGAATACATTAGCCTGGATTTACCTGGGTGAGCTGTTGCTGGAGCATGTTGACTTTATCTAAGAGAGCTTTCTGCTCCTGGTAGTACTTCCTGAGGCCTTCCTGCAGAGTCTCATTCTGCCTTTCCAGATCCTGAATAACAAACAGCAAAAAAAGACAAAACTTTAAACAAATAATTAAAATGATGAATCAAAAATAGAAAAGACTGTTTGTGTGTAATGAGTACGGTGACGTTACACAGCACTTACATGTATGATCTGGTCCTTTCTGTTAATCTCAGCTGCCTCTGTTCTCTCCACTGAATGCTGAGGATAAGACAGGATCTTAATTTAACATTACCACAGTCATGAAATCACAGAACAATTCTCACTTATAGGCACTAGATGGCAGCGTTGCACAACTGAGCAGATCTATGTAGCCTGAAATGTATAAACAGTGTGCTGAACAACACCAAAAAAGATGTTGAGAGATGTGGAGGGAGCAGCAGGAGAGGGCGAGGTTACAGTGCTGGAAATGTAAGCAACTCTGACCATTATATATTATATTATATTAACAAATACAGAGCCTCAGCACCATTTCCATTAGGCTACATGTCACCATGACATACTCCACAATGAGTGAAGTGTGGAGAATAACAAATGCTCTTTATTATTATATTAAAGAGACTTAAAGATGATGTGATTTTTGCATGTTTCAGCGTTACCTGTCGCTTCCACTGTTCTATCTTTGCGGCTTCTTTATCTGCAACACAACCAGAAAAGCGAAAGGTGACATTTCATCCTCCGCTGTTTGTTATCAGGATAAGACAAAAACACGCTCAGAGAGAACGCAATCAAGGAAGGCAAAAGGAAGCAGCTGTGAAAGTGTTGTAAGACATGTAGAACAAAAAAAACAAAACACAGGATTTGAAATGTATAACTTTGTATACTTATGATTCGAAACCAGCAGATACTTAAAGTTAAATAGCATCTTGTCATTATTGATAGCATATGTAATAATAGTACTGTCATGTAGCCTAAAGGCTACACTTTTGTTAGTCTTTACAAAAATCACCTTTCACTTTGTACATAAATAATCTGGTGAGCCGTCACGCTGATGTGTTTTATGCCACTAAGTATCCAAGTAACAAAAGAAATAAATAAATAGTGTGACACTAAGGTTTAGACCTTTCCTTTATCTTTAGGTTAGTCTGGAAAGTTTTATTTATTTATTTTCTTCCAAAAGCAAATTTAGAAATAGCCGTTTCTTGTCCTGCTCTCTGACCTCTGTTGGCTTTGTCGATGTAACTTTTGACCATCGCGATGAGCTCCTGGTCCTTGTTGAAGCGAGCGTAGTGATGTGCGTCGTGACCCAAGCCGTCCACAGTCTTCACATCGGCGCCACTCTTCAGCAGCACCTCCACTGCATCCTTACAGCCGAACTCACAGCCGAGGATCAGCGCGGTCCTGAAGGCGTCAGAGACGGTTTATAATGAAGGCAAAGCTGAATCATCAGAGTGCTTCACACTGATGGGGATGTACCAGTAACCTGACTGCAGCCAAGGTGTGCAGAAGAGCATTTCTGAACACACAACAGCTCAAACCCTGATGCAGATGGGCTACAGCAGCAGAAGACCACATTGTGTGTGACTCCTGTCAAATCAAATTATCTTAAATTCTGTAACATTCAGAGGGCAGGTTCAGAATTAGGTGGAAACAACATGAACGCATGGATCCATCCTGCCTCATAACAGGGGTTCAGGCTGGTGGTGCCTTCATGAGCTCTTACTACTGCTGTATTTTTCAGTGTTGGATTCTGTTTGCTTCCCTTTTAAAAAAAAAACTTTTATTGCCTGTTCAATCTAAACTGGTTTCATGTTAATGTCACAAAAACGCCAGAAGAAATGAGACTTGTTTTAACTTTTCAAACTATATAATCTGTCCAAATCTTGCTTTCCACTTCAATTAAAACTGCTCTAACAGGCCCGCTCGGCAAATTGGAGTGTATCTTACTTGTTTTGTTTGTCCCGGACAGTAATGTCAGCTCCTCGCTCCAGCAACAGCTGACAAATACGGGGATGACACATCTGGGTTGCCAGAATCAGAGGTGTCCTCCCATCCTGAAGAAAGAAAATAAAAAAAAACATTCACATTCCTCTACAGATGTGAGTACACTCCTTCATGATCTGATCCACAAAGAGCATTTATGTAAACTAGGTTAACATGACTTTAAATGTAGTTTAAGACCTCCACACAAGGCAAACTCAAGGACTAAACACAAGCACAAAATGGCTTGGGCTTTTTCAGAAAAATACTGCAAAACAAAGAGCAAAAGCAATTCTCACAAAATCGGTGGCATTCACAGCCGCCCCGCTGTCACAGAGAAGTTTGACGCTGGAGGCACAGCCCGCCATGACTGTGGAGAAAAAGAACAGAGCGCTGCAATCATTTCATCTCATTTACCACGGAAAAACAAGCACAGACACTGTTGATGTTGAAAATAGTACCATCAAAGCTATACGCAAACCGCCTTTAAACAAACTGCTGAATTTTATTTTCTATAATGTCTCAAACATCAACATCCATATGTACGCATGCGTAGGCTTTGATTATGGAAAACAGTCAAAGAGAGAAAAGAGTAGAGTTTACTCCAGTACACACATACAGAGTAGAGTGAGTACTTGAATAGAACTCAATTGCGTTGATGCTACAGCAGTTACTATTGTGCTACTGCACAGGGTACCAGCTCTATTTTACCGTAGTACACCTATAATTTAGTAGCAGCAGGATAGTTGTTTACTATAATCTTCTACTGCTGCTGTCAGTACTAGTAGATTATAATAGAATCAGGACTACAATGGACTAGAATAGAGTTTTAAAATACACTGAGCACTTTATTGCAGTGGAATCAGAGCTGGAACAGAGTGATGTCACCTCAACATTAGATGAGAGAGAGCATACTACTTAGAGCTTTGAACTGAGTCTTTTTTTTTTCTTAGACCAAAATGCAAAATACACTATATGGACAAAAGTACTGGGCCACCAACACAGGACACCTACAGGAGCTGTTCAGGTATGGGAGCCAATGCCAGAAACTCAGCAGAATGTCAGTGTGCATCAGCACTCAGTGGTCGGACACAGACATGGCTGAGATGCTGTGTTTCCCAAACACTTGCACTTTGCAATAATGCTACTGATTTTTGATAGTGGTATATCTAGGAGGGAAGACATTTCATGAGATACAATAGTGGCATCCTATTACAGCACCAGGCTCGAATTCAGTGAGCTCTTTAGAATTACTCATACTATCACAAATGTATGCAAAGGCCAAATTTTACCTGAATTCAAACATTGAAAGGTGTGGGCCAATACATCTGTCCATATAGTGTACTGTGCCTAACCGCCCATGGATGGTTTATACCACAGCTGCCATAAAGTAACAGGACTTGTAAATGCCAAAATAACTTTTTTAATGTTCCTAGAAGTGTTAATACATCACTATGTGCAAATTCTTAAAATATAATCATCGTTGTTATATAACTTTAAAATTTGTGGTTTTAGAAAAAATAAGAAAAAAATAGTAAAGTGCATTATTTTTTTTAAATTAAGCAATCATTCCTGAACAGAAAACTTGGTTTTAGTGGTTGCTGGCTCAAATTTGGATATAAAAATTCAGTTAACTGAATTCTTTAATTTTTAGAGATTTCTAAATTATTTGTGCTTCCTTCTTTTCATGACAGGCGGTCAGCACTGTATGTTGCTCTACAAGTCTGCAGGGATTGGACAGCGGGTGGTGTCCAGAGTTCAAACTCAAAATGCCAAACTGGCTTTTAATGTTTGTAGTACCCCATGCTGAACTCGACTCCCCTTGGATCTCAGATATATCGGCTGTAACCTCTTTCACGCCACATTTTATTATTCTTTGTATTCTTCTTTTGGTTTTATGGTGCATTACTTTTCAGTCTGTTATTTTATCATTTTCTTGAAATTTACAATATTTGTAGAGTCCTTGGAACTACAAATGTTAATGAATTGCTGTGTGAAATAACTTTTCCCTGCCTTGCCGTAGAATAGTCTTACCAGCATCATGTAGAGCCGTTCTTCCTTGCAGGTCCACGTTTCCAACTGGAGAGTTGTGCTGTTAAAAACAAAGATAAACTCAGATAAAGAAAATGTAGAAACTGTTACACAGCGTGTATCAAAACAAATAAAGAATATGACTTATTGTCAATATAAAAAGGTAAACTCACACTTTACATTACAGGTTCGTTAGCACAGACCTGTTTCAGTGTATTATAGTATAATGACACTGATTCAAATAACAAAGAAATGACCCCTTAACAATTCTGTTTGGTCATTACTAACATGCACTGTAACTATGTAGGGACACAAAGTGTTTTCAGTGGAGTACAGACACTCAGGTTCTCTTATGCCAGTCTACTTGTCCAGCAGTGGTTTAATTAGGTTTCCTTGTTGCAGGTGTGTAAAACAGGAGCACCCTAAATATCATGTATTTCCAGCAGCTGGCAGTGGAAACTAAAAGGCAGAAGAAGGAAGGTCATATTAGGATAAGTGGTGCTGTGCTCAAATGCTTGTGACATCTACACACAGCCCACTCCACTGACTGGGCTCCAGTGATTGTAGTGCTGTGGTGATGAGGGCTGCAGGACTCTATGCTAACAGGAGCCTGATGTTGCTGGGTAAGCTTGACAGTACGATCTGTCCCCCACTATAAAAACTCCACTCTCTCTAGCAACAAGGGCCAAAAATTAGCAGCATGCTCAAATGACATAGTGAAGAGGGGGCGTAGAACAGCAATGGGAGCTGAAGGTAGCGCATTGGAGGTGGGATATCCTATACCGTGATGGTTTGGGCTGACGGAGGGAGACAGTAGCTGTGGTGGGCATCCAGCTGCTATGTCTAGTGTGATGACGGCACTAAGAATGGATGGCAGGTTTGCAGGAGGGTAGGCTTGTCAACAGCTCTGACAACCCCCTGCCAACAGCCACAACCTCCATTAGATCATTGCCATGCCAGATATGAGGGGGGCATGAGGGGGAAGGGACGCAAGACAATGAGAGCGCAATGTTGCAGAGAGACAGCCGCCTTATTGTAAACACATAAATCCTCCAGAGGGCCACGGTGACTCAACAAGCACTACTGTTGACCGATATGGAGTGGCCTCAGTAGCCACAGCTGTTTGGCAATAAGAATTTAATGGGGCTGAGAGGAAATCTCCTCTGACTGACCAGTGACTGTGAAACTGTACCAAATAAAAAGGTAGTATGTCATTTCATTTTGGCATATGTTTCTAACAATGACAGCTGCGCTTTACCTGCAGGAGTTTCTGCACACACAGAGAGTGTCCATTTCTCGAAGCTAGATGGAGAGCACTTTTACCTGAAAGAGACAAAAGCAGTTTTAAAACAACAACAAAAAAAAAAGTTAATTTACAACCCACGATTTGCATGTATGCATATTTAGAGAAACACGCCACAACATGCAATTACCCCTCTGATGCACATACTACAAGTGTTTACAGTACATGTGTCGTTTAATCTGTTTAGAGGACTTCAAATGATGTTAGATTAATTCATTATATTAAATAGAAATGCAATATTTCTGTAAATACAGCATACAGATTTGTTTCAGTCAAACTAGATTAAGAAGTAATTTCATTGTTGCTATAATAGCAGTTGTAATTTTAGTATTAAAACCTTTGTTACGCCCTTTATAGGGATGGGATTGCCGTTTTCTTCAGTCTGTGGAAAGTAACAGCATGATGTCATTTGTTCTTCAAAGTATTTAGCATTACCACTCTTTTGAAGGTTGCATACTCTTTGCCTTAGTCGCTCTGCAGTGAGAACTGCTGTCACCAGTGGATAAAATTTATGACGGTCTGCTCAGGTCCAAGCAACATATACTCACAGCTGCAGAAATATATTGCGCCTTTAAGGGTCTGTGAGTGTGCATGCTAAATGGTTCTGAGCTATGATGGTGATCATGCTCTTTTTCCAGTTTCCATAGCGCTTTTTTACATTTCACAGAGCGTTTGCAGACAAGTCAGTGTCTTCTATCCAAACTCTGAGTGACTGCTACGATCTGCTAGCAATCAAAGCAATCACGCACAAGGTCTTTGGTGCAACAAACTTACCAGCGGCGTCACTCGCAGTCACATCAACATTGTGTCCCAGGATGAGATTGAGGACTTCTAAGTGTCCTCGTGTTGCAGCCAAATGAAACCTGGAAAACAAGAGAGAGATGGAGATTAATTAAAAATTAATAAATAAGAAATAAAAAAGCCAGAAAAGACTGACAGGGCATGGGTGAGAGGTATATAGCAGAGAGCAGAGAGCACAGAGTTGAGAAGGGCAAGTGAAAACGTGATAGGGTGTAAAGAGACAGGGGAGAGGGTAAAACTGAGAGACAAGAGAGGGGCTGCAAACTGATGCCTGGCTCCAAGCTATCAGCAGGATCAGCATTCTCAAAACATAACGAGAGCCCTCAGGGTTTGTGAGGTCTAAGTGACAACTAGGAGCGACACAAACTTGTTTGTTTTGCAGAAAAAAAACCGTGTCTACCGACAAAAAATGTTGAATGCATGGTAATAGCTAATAGTTAATAGACATGAATAGTAAACTTATTGATATCTACAGCATCAATCAAGTGTTGTGACTGGGATACCCAAGCCAAATTATCAAATCTATCGACCAATGAGAACCATGTGACTCGACTGAACATACTCAGTGCAAGTTGGAGCGAAAGTGTTTAATGCACGATTGCTACACAGTGCACATATTCCCTTGTTAATTGCCTACTTAGTTAAGCCGTTTCCCACTGCACGTGTTTGCCAACATGTATTTAATCATCACCTTCAACTGGAAACGTTCCAGCTGCGCTTGTCCAATGTAACCCACAGCAGCACTGCTGCTAGTCTCCATGCAAGACTGCGGAGCACTTGTGTGTAAGCTAATCTCTGTCTGACACCCACCCGGACACATGAGCCCGTTCATACACTAACCCCAAGTTATCTGCCAAGGAGACAGCTCGGCTGTCACCTCAACGCTGGCGTGGGTATTAAAAGCAGTGTTGATGACCAGGAGATGCTGATCTTCTGTGGAGCAGTGGCGTCTTGGGCTCTCCAGGCCAAACAGCAGACGGGAAGCAGAGTAAAGCTATCCAAGTGGGGTGATACCCCTCACTAAGTTCATAACCTACATCACTTTCCATAAGGGAACTCAAAGAATGCTTTGAAATAAAGTTAAAGGTACATAAGTGCAATTAATTGAGTGCATTTCCCCATGACTTTGAAGAATAGAGAGCGATGACTGTCTTGACAGCAAATATAACTCAAAGCCAAAATGGTCAAGCCTGAAAATCTGGCCTGTCTCTACAATAATAAAATAAAGGCAAAAATGCCAAAAATCCATCTTAAATAAAGTATGATATTCAACAAATGCAAAGGACTGATGCTATAAATACATGGAGACCTCAGTGAAATGGTTAGACAACAAAAAAAAATCGAGACTAATGGCTCTGGCTTTAACAGAGCACATTACATTTTCACATCTGCTCCTTGGGGAGCTTTCAGGTTGTCAGTCTACTGGATATGGCTGCTATTTTTAAAAGAGTCCACTTGTTTCTGTTTTCTATCAAACCCTAGTATGACGCTAGCTGAACCATGTGTGACAAAGTGCGTCTCTGAGGATACAACAGTCCATGTTCATATCTTACATTTAGCTCCCTCTTATCTGAAAGTGAATATTGGTATGTGTGCACAAAAACATGCTGCTCTACTCGTTTCTGTAAAGCTCTGTCAATCACTGCTGCGCTTAGTTTTAAGAAAGTCCTCTAATGCCAGTGGTAAGTCACAACATCCATCGTATCAAAATGAGAAGGTCAACGTCGTTGCCTGGTAGCCAGACAAGGAGAACATTGCAATACATTTGATATATAACAAAGAGAATGGCAGCGACTGCTTAGTGTTACTTCCTGTAAATCTATCATCAAGTTGGCCTCAAGATCACACACACACACACACACACACACACACACACACACACACACACACACACACACACACACACACACACACACGAAACTCAGATCTTACAATAGTTAGATTTTAAAAAAAAGCACCCCCCAAAAGCACTTGAGCACAAAATTAGCTATTCACTCAGTGCCAGGATTGTGCTGGAGATTTAGCTGACTGACTGTCTTTAGTGGTATGCTCATGCTGTCATGAGAACTACTTTTGCTACTAGGCCCTTGTCTGCACAGAATGAGCGTTAGTGATGGGTGGGCTTACCACGCTGAGATCCAGCTAAAGCCACAGCAGAGATGCAAACTGTTTACTCAGCTGGAAGGTGCGATAGAAACACTTAGGGCTGAATTCATTAGCTCTACACAACGAGGCTAATCCAGGGCACACCAAATGATATATTGGGGGTAACAGCTTGTAATTAGTTTCCCCTCAGAGGTCCATGATTATAAGGAATCACCATTCAACATTCCTTTGTGGGCTTTTGCAAAGGCCAGAATACCATATGCACATGTGTGCGTGTCTGTGTGTGTGTGGCCCAGTGAACTATAAGTGGCCTGGCTGAGTTGCGGTTCACTTTTGTTTTGGTTAGACGTGGCAAAAGCGTGACCTCTTCCGGCCCCCCCTCGAATATTCATTCATTTTACAGTTAACTGGTTCTGATCCACAGGGGAACAGCGAATGATAAGCATGACTGTGTTTGGAAACAACAACCTCTGCAGGCTGTGGTTCTGGATTTAGTTCTGACAAATTCTAGCACCTTATTATGAGACCAGGCATTTATCAGGATGTGTGTATAATTGTGTTTATTCGCATGCATGTGCACATTGGTCTATGCGGTGGTGCCACAAGAGAATTTCACACACTGCTGAAAATACTCTGCACCTTTGCAGTCTGGGATCTGGAGCTCCAGAGTTTTATGGTTTAACAAAGGCTTTGTCAAAATAAACGCGCAGCACGGGCCAGAGACGAGTGACTCATTCATATATCTAGGATTAAACCGAGGGCGCCTGCCCGCCCGAAAAACTGGTGTCAGAATCTGTTTAAATTTAGGAAGAAAACAGAGCACCTCATTTAAAAAAACAAAACAAAAAAACAAAACAGGTCAATGTATTGTTTTTCAAGGCTGAACCATTTTTAATAATAGCACTACATTAAAGGTCTGTCTGGGAGATGTGTTCATATCTGTGGTTTTGGATGGCTGAGATGCAACATCAGAGAATTCCTCATACACATTTCAGACTGACCTATTTTCCTTCTATTTCTTACTGCCCTGTTAACACTGCAGGGTGCATATCGAGTTAGTAGGGAAAAAAAACAACGACCTCTGAATATATCAGGTTCTCACTTAAAACATGCTCCTCCTCCAAGATGTCAAGAAATCGTGGTAATGGCCTGCAACAGGGCCTAAATGTATTACTTGGTGTTGCAAGAATCACAGTGGATCTAATCTTAATTTGCAGAGAGTCATTTCCTGTAGGGACTACATAAACTGCCTCCGGACAATGTGATCAAGCCTCGTGTCCACGGACATTCTTTACACCAGCTCCCACACTGACCTCCGGTCAAAGGGAAACTAAAAGGGAAATTTCTGGATATAAAAAATGGAGACAGAATCATGTACAGCACTCGTTTCATTTTGTTGTGTTTATATTTGTGGAGGTTCATGCAGGGGTAACGTGGTGCTTATTTAAGACGTTCTGGAGCGAGAGTGACCTAATTGTGAAGGAATCTTAGAGAAGCTTTATCTGGAAAAAAAGGTCAGGAATGTCACGCGGTGGGGAGGTCACCACAATGTTTGGAATTGCTGTTGCTGGTTTTAGATTTACAAATCTTTGCCAATCCATGCTGGACTCAAACAAACACAAACGTTTCAGTGATTTCTGATCTGTACACTGTCATCTCACTGTACTACACTTCGTGTGGTACGCGTGTGTGCTGCCGAAGCTCAAAGCTCTGACTATACATGTCAACATACTGCACATGGATGCATGTGTGTCTGCATGCGCCTGTGTTTACTTACGCAGAGCGTCCTTCCACGTCAAGCTTAGTGGGGATGATGCCCTTCTTGTTGAGAACAGCAGACACCTTGTCCACCTCACCACGCTCCACTGCCTTCATCAGCCGATCATCATACTTGTTCCAGTCTGTGTTCTGTCAATGATGATAGCAAACTATCAGACATTTCTAACCAAACAGTTATGTATTTCACCAAGGCTGTACTTAGTTTAACAGCTGAGAGTAATAGCTATAATTTGGTCCCCAGGAGTTTTAGCTGACTACCAAACGCAAGCCGGGCACGAACACACATAGAACAAAGTCCATTTCTGAGTCATTTTTCCTTTTCTGCTATAATAACAGACAAGAATAGACCTTAATGTGCCAGGAATTTAAAACGCTTCATGAGTTGTTGCTACAAAGCAAGGAAACAGTACTCTTAAACCTCCTGATAAGAATGTGGCTCTTTACACTGAAAGTCAAAATAAAGACAAAGCAAAAACAAGCAAGTGCAAATTTTAATCATAACCAAGATTCAAAACAGGCGATGTGTACACAGAGAGCTGATCTAAGAGTTCTGCCACTGCACTGCTGCTTCTGTAAAGCACAGCTTTCGGCTACATTCACACTGTTCATGAAATCAGAGCTCCAATAACGGTGGTGACAAGGTAAAATTATTGGCAATGAATACCTACAAAGTGCACGGAGGTGCATTTCAGCCAGCGGCTCATCTTGGGTGAGTGGAGCTGGTCCTTGCACCGTGCTACTGAAAAAGTTGCCACTTTTCTGGTTTACAAAAGCAAAACTAGAGAAAAACAGTACAAAAATCCCCTCAGTCTCTCAGTGCACTCAACCAGTGAGTGCAACAACAAAAAAGAAAGGATGAGAAGACAGAAGGGTGAGAGTCTGTAACGCAGAGGAGGTCCTCTTATGGGAGGTTTAACCTCAGGAATCTTTCTCACTTGCAGCAAAAAAGTTCATTTCGCAAGATTTTTCTAAGCATTCCTCTGTTGCTCATGAGCGCTTCCGGCAAGTTCATCACTGCACAGCAGTTTAGTTGATCGTTAAAGGGAGGAGAAGGAGGAGTGATTGAGGAGAAAAGAACAGAGGTGGAGAAGCAGTAGGGCCAGCCCTGCCAGCCCTGGGACCTGCCCTGGCCGGCAACTGCAACTCCTCCTCTGGTGGGGGAAGTCAGCTCAGCCTGGCTACCGTTCACCTCCCTCAAGTGCCGTCGCCTCCTTTCCTCAACTCAGTCTCCCTTTCTTCTGGTACTCTTCCTGCTGTTTTCTGTCTGAAAAAACAAACTCAACGCTCTTTCTTGTCGAGTAGTAATGAAGGGTTTCTCTCGCTGCCTCTTCTCTTCTCTATCAGTGGTCTCCAGCTTCTTCACCCCACCAAATGGCAAGGTCAGTCAGGCTCAGTGGGGTAAATATGTGAACTCTCACAGGTTTAAAATATCACCCCCTCCCTGGTAAACAGCAGCGGTGCAGACAGCCCTGCAGACTGGTTACCTCTTTATTTTTTGACCCTCCAACCTTTCTGCAGTGACTGATAGGAAGACAGTGGCTAAGAATACATTCTGGACATGCCTCCAGCATGAGTAATGGCTTTAATGTCCATCAGCACTGCCAGCATGCGACAAGGCCAGCCAAAAAGACCGTGCTTACATCGACACCCCCCCACACACACACACACACACACACACAATGCTCTCTGCTTGCCTCCCATCTGAAAATATTAATGTCAGAGGGGGATTATGGTTTGCACATTTTGAAGTGGTCTTGGCACTGACCCTCAAAGGATACTACGGGGTAAAAGCTGCTGTTAACCCATCCATCTAAACGGGGTGGTGTGGCTCCAAAGCCCCGTGATCCTTGCAGTGCGGCAGCAGGGTTAGACGACAGCCTTTTTACAACCGTCTGTGACTGCAACCCCTCCAAAACCTGCATCTATATTGCCTCCTCGCTTTCACTGATACACTTTAAAAGCACAACTTTAACTTACTGAGTAAAACATCACAGAAAAAAAAGAAGTTTTTTAAAAAAAAAAGGGGGGACACACAGACATCAATCTATGGTGAGGAAGACAGGATACAAGGAGACCCGTTTAATTTACACACTACATCAGCTCCTCATGTTACTGCCCGCTGCCAGACTGGCGTTAACAGAGCAACACTGATATCCACAAACATGCAGAAAGACCTCCTCCGCATGACATGTCGTATCATAAGGAGTAGGTGTCAACTTACGAAAGCTGCTCGCCCTCGCATGGAGACAAAGCCGCCAAAATGGCACCTAGCCATCACATACGTCGGTCACGTAAATATCTCACACTGCTTTGCTGCTGTGTGTATTTGTTTGGGAATCTGTTTATGTACTAGTTAATATTAGGGCTGTTAGCAAGCAAGAGGTGCCACCGCAGTAGTCCCTGTCTTTCAAGGGGAGCTGATCGACATATAATAACTTGATGTTGTGAAGAGAAATAGATCATCTGTGCTTGTTGTTGTAACGCATGTGACTTAAACTATCTGCAAACTGAACAGAACAGCAAACGGGAAACTAAGAAAAGTTTTCCAGATATGATTCCCACTTTCTTGAGCAGTCAAAGGTTTTAAACGTGAATGAGTTTCCTTTACGAGCTGGAAGGATGATGATTGCAACAGATGACAATATCTAGTTACATTTAATGACGCCAACATGATATCAATGTATCTTCCTGTTTTACTTTCATATCTCAAATTGTACATTGCTGACACATATTTACCAGGATCAGGGGAAATACTCCCTATACTTTAACAGAACAAAAAAAGTAATGTTTTGGCTAATTTAGAGATATCGCACTTTTGTTTATAGCAGTCTGAGCACTGTTTGAAGTAAATGCAGCAGAGTCATCCAACTAAATTACCGATAGTCAGAAAATCACCAGTTATTTTCTTGAGGATAAAAGCTTCACGTGGGAGTTTCCCTCCAGGACTAATCCATTGCTTTTGCCAGTGAGATAAAACAATCTACCCACAAAGAACTGCGTGTTCTGGAAACACCTCTGCTTTTCCATGACACTGGACCTGCCCTGAATGCTAGGTCATCTTTGAAATGACCTGGCATTTACTTGACATTTATTGAAATTAACGGGTTGCAAACAAGCTGTTTGGATGACCGCATGACTAATCTGACATCCGAGGAGCAGCTTGAATGGCATCTGTGATTCATTTTAAATTGCTTAATCGCAGTTGTGTGGAAAAGAGTTAGGACCTTTTTCTTCAGTACTAAATAATAAACAGTTGTATCCTTTAAATACTCTCCTCCCTAAAGTTTGACGTTTTGAAGGGGAAACTCCTACAAATGAATATGCAGTAAGACCAGCTGCAGAAATAACTGAGTCCATGGCTTTACATCAGCGGTCCCAAACCCTTTTTGCGCCACGGACCGATTTATGTCCAACAATATTTTCACAGACCGGCCTTTAAGGTGTCGCGGATAAATACAACAAAATAAAACCAGTACCGATACCAAAAAAAAGAAGAGTTATTAATAACACACTGGAAAAGACCCAGGGAAACAGAGTTAACGATAAAAAAAAAAATAACATAAACCCTGAAAACCATAAATTTCACAGCCTCAACTCTCGCAGCCCAGGGGTTGGGGACCGCTGCTTTACATGATTACATTTTCCCTGCACCTCTTTTGTAAATCCTGACAGTAGTGGTTCTTTGAATCTACTACATAAAGCAGCAGATTGAGGTTTATCTATAGATTCTTTGAGCTTGAGATCCCATCCCAGGGGCCTTAACACAGGGTGAGACCTTGTCTTATTGTTTCACCTGAAACCTCTGATAATGACCCACAACCTTTTTCACACCTTGGCTCATGCGAGGGGGGTACACGTTTGCAAACTACTGCTGTCGAATTTATACATGCAGACATGCCAACACATTGCCATCAGTCTATGTCAGTGAGCACAACTCGAAGAGACTCAACTGGCTGCCAGCTGGTTCTGTTAAATGTGAATTTCTGTGCAGACAGCAGCAGATATGCTCACTTATCACTCCTGTATTATAGGAAACAAACTGGATGCAACTGCCATAGGCTGACTGTAAAAAAAAAAAGTCCAGCTTTGGATCATTTTGGATCGGACCAACATCCCAACATCCCATTTATCCAAATATTGAATAAATGTATTCCTAATTGGTACCCAAAGCCATGTCATTTAGTAAAAAAAGTGGTCATGTTTATCTGCTGGGCTGAATATCTACACCATTAAAAAGCCCATCCACACACATGACTTGAACACTTGTGATACTGTAATCTCCACAAAGGCAGGGCTCATTAGCATTGCTGTAACTGGAGCCACAGTGAGACTTCAAGAGATGTACACAGAAGTTTAAAAAAAAATCTCTGTAATTTTTTTAATTAGTCCTGAACAGAAAACCTTAATAGGCATGGAGCAGCCAGCTTTACAGTGTCTGTATTAAACCTGCATACAAGACGTTACTGACTCAATATTCTGCTAAAGCTTCTATTTTAACACAGTGACCTCGAGGACAAGACGTCACCTGACATTGGATCAGACAGGTTAGGCCGTTCTACCTGTCTGCACAAATTATTCTGGCTGCCTGGTAATATGCCACTTAGAGACTCTCGCCATCTTCAGCTCAGATGTTCCGTCACTTCTCCAACACCTCGGTTTCCTGCCTCTCTCAGCTGCTGGCGAGACTAATAGGTCTCCAATATCCTCACAGATGAAATCACCAGCAAGAAATATCTAAGCGGTCATCTGATAAGAGACTGAAGTCAGGATCACAACATAAAGCTTTACACCAATATGGTAAGTGATAGTTGTGTCCAACGTCAAACTGCAGTTACAGATCTAGTTTTATGATATCCACTACGGGGATCCTCTTGATTATGAAAGTCATCTGCGAAGACACAGACATTAAGCCATGAAATATAACCCTTTGACAATTTATAGGAAATGTGTCTCTGTAAATACAGGCAGAATCTTTTTCCCATTTAGAGCTTTAGCTCAAGCTTCAGATTTTCAGAAGTCTTCAGAAGTCAGACGTGTAATGCAGCACATGGGTGAACTCAATGGATGCATTGATCTTCCTCACAGGGGTTCATGTGAGCTCTAATGGAGAAATGTTCCAAAATTCATCTGAAGCTAAACTGAGGCTTCAGAATAAGATATAATAATGCAGTCGAAATGTAGCTTAAAGAGGACATGAGTAAGAGTTTAGAGACATATACACTCACTGGCTGCTTTGTTACATAAACCTGTTCAACTCTGCATTAATGCAAATATCTAAATCAGCCAATCAAACTCGGTGCATTTAGGCATACAGAGATGGTCAAGATGACTAACTTAAGGTCATAAAGAGCATCAGAATAGAGCAGATGGTTGAAGTGACTCTGAAAATGGCATGGTTGTTTTTGCCAGAGGATTTTTCAGAAATTGCTGATCTACTGGGATTTTCCCACACAGCCATCTCTAGGGTTTACAGAGAATGGTCTGAAGAAGAGAAAATATTCAGCGAGCCACAGTTTTCTGCAGGAAAATGCCTTGCTAATGCCAGAGGTCAGAGGAGAAAGGCCAGACTCCTTCAAGTTAATAGAAAGGCAACAGTAACTCAAATAACCACGAAGGCATGCAGAAGAGACTGTGCTGTATCATACCCTCTGTGACAATACTGTATGCATTTTTATGTGATATAAAAATGTCAAGTTGTGATATCATTAATTTACGTTCCCTGCTGTGTGTAACAGTGAGACTAGCCCAGGCATGTCAGAGCATAAGAGCTGCGTGTCAACCTCCAATGATGCTCTAGTACCTATATATGAAGTTTCTTATAAAACCTCCAACAAAGTGCAACTATTGTGGAAAAGACACACCGCTGAGTGCAAACAGTCTGTGAATGAAGAGGTGCTAGCAGCCGTAGATGTGCAGCCCAAATGACTCCACTGAGCAAGATACAACATCCCAGGTAGTTTTTTAGCTTTACTATATGACATTCTTGAGCATATCCTGATGAGGTACAAGGTTGTGATACTTTAGGTCTTGTTAAAGTGAAGTGTTGGGAATTATTTTCACATACAATTTCCAAGGAAAACACTACATAGGCTACTTTTGTGCTTATATTTGACTTAAGCTTGCTCTGCTGCTGTACTGCTGGAACCTTGTTTCAATAGAGTCACATTTCAATCTAGGAAGTATATCATCAGTGACAGTAGCTCAGTTGAAAAATCCTGTTCATTAACGTACACTTCCGAATGCTGCTGCCTGCAAACATCAACAAAATGTTCTGGGGGGTTTTCCCTTTATCATCAGAAATATTGTGTTCACAAATATTCTTGATATATTGTGATATAATTATAAGATTATACTGCTCACCCCTAACACACACCAAAAATTGAAGCAGGGAGTCTACAGCAGCAGAACACCACACTGGGTTGCTTGTCAGCTAAGAACAAGAACTGAGGC